CTTCCTTCCGAGGAGTGGCTGGTGGATTTGAACTGCCAGCCTTCTGGTTAGCAGTCAAGTGCCTTAGCCACTATGCTACCAGAGCTCCCTCACATACCATATAACACATTGTTTTTACAATTCATGTGGCAGTCCTTCCAGTTCAAATGATAGAGACCTACCTCGTATGTATTTTTTTAACTGAATACATTTCTTGAAATGGAATTATTAACTGAAAATGCACAGATTTTTCTGTTTTCCTCAGATCTCTCTATTCTTTTCTAAACTCTGTATCAGCATTGTTCCCTGGAAATGTGATGTGAGTCAGAGTTGTAGTTTTAAATTTGTAGTCACTTCAAAAAAATACAAAGAAATATAAAATTAATTTCAATATTTTTATATCTAAAATATTATTTCAACATGCACTCAGTATAAAAAATTACCAATGAGATAATTTACATTTTTTTTCCTCCACTGGAAGAACAAAGTATATGATAAAGCCTTTTCCCTGAAATATTCCAGAAGTGTTCCTGAAAGATATTTGACAGCGATGTTTTGGCTTATCATTCGATTTTATATTGTGTAGCATCAACATTGAATTACGTATAAAATGTTAATGCAATACAACTTGCTTCAATTCTTTACCATTTAGAGATCCTGCAATGTGCCAGAATACTTGTCTGAACATGTGGTTAACTGTATTTTTATATTCACTGTGAGAATTTTTGGGAGCTCTGGTGGCATAGTGCCTAAAGCATTTGACTGCTGACCAGAAGGCTGGAGGTTCAAACCCACCAGCCACTCCTTGGAAGGAAGATTGAGTGATTTACTTCCGCAGTGATACTGTCTCAGACACTCAAGGAGGGGTTGCTATGAGTCGGATCGAACTCGATGGCAGTGAGTTTGGTTTTGGTTTGGTGAGAATTTTACTTTTTTCATGAATAATACGTTTTTTCATGACTAGTTATATTGTTTTTGAATAATTTTGAGTAGCATCTTTCAGAGTATAATGCCTTCCTAATATCGGTGAGATAATAATAATAATAATAATAATAATTTATTGTTTTTTTCCTGTGTCAGATCCAGTGATAAGTGCTTTTTGTGCATTATTTTGTTTAATTCTCTCGTTAGTATTATTAAGTAGGTACTAGCCCTACATTGTCCCTGTTTTTCAGAGGAGAAAATGGAGGCAAAAAAAGGTTAAGTTACTTACCATAAGTTATACAGTTAATAAGCCACAAAGCCAGGATCTAAAGCCCAGAATTTTAACTTCAAAGTCTGTGAGACAGTGGGATGGCATTGTGTTGTGACTCTTTTTCTCACTTATTTATTTGCTGATTATTGCTGTGCTCTGTCACTTTAGCATAGCTATGAGGAAGAGTCATCACCGTGGAAGTTGGCTCAGAGGCACAGAAGTGAAGAAAATGTGGTAAGGAATATATATATATTTTTAAATATTTTGGTGAATATATCCAAATACATATTTTCATTCATGTTTGTTTTCATAGTACCATTTTACTACAGTAATTATTATACATTTTAGATACCAGAACATTAACATGAAGGGAAGGAAGGAATTTCAATATGAACATCTTATTTGTTTGAAAGTCCTAGGTCATATTGAAGACAATCTTGCTTATGGGTGGTAGAAGATGACTGGTTTAATGTGTTGTTGCTGTTGTTAGGTGCTGTCAAGTCATCTCCAACTCATAGTGACCTTGTGTACAGCAGAATGAAACACTGCTCAGTCCTGTGCCAGCCTCATGATCCTTGCTATACCTAAGTTCATCGTTGAAGCCACTGTGTCAATCCACCCTTGTTGAAGGCCTTCCCCTTTTTTGTTGACCCTCCACTTTGCCAAGCATGATATCCTTCTCCAGAGAATGGTCCCTTCTGACAAGATGACCAAAGTAGGTGAGACAAAGTCTGGCCATTCTTGCTTCAAAGGAACATTATGGTTGCACTTCTTCCAGGACAGATTTCTTCCTTCTTCTGGCAGTCCATGGTACTCTTAGTATTCTTCTCCAACACCACAACGCAACAGCATCAGCTCTTCTTTTATTTTCCTTATTCATTGTCCAGCTCTCATACGCATTTGACGTGATGAAAGTACCATGGCTTGGGTTAGGTGTATGCTAGTTTTCAAGGACACATGTTTGCTCTTCAGCACTTGAAAGAGGTCTTTTGCAGCAGATTTGCCCAATGCCGTACATCATCTGGTGTCTTGACTGCTGCTTCCTTTGGTGTTGATTGCAGAACCAAGTAATAGGAAGTCTTTGACAACTTTTCTCCATTTAACGTGATGCTGCTTATTGGTCCAGTTGTGAGGATTTTTGTTTTCTTTATATTGAGGTGTAATCCATACTGTAGACTATAGTCTTCAGTCTTCATCAGTAAGTGCTTCACGTCATCCTCACTTTCAGCAAGGAAAGTTGTGTCATCTGCATATCGCAGGTTGTTAATGAGTCTTCCTCTTGATGTCATATTTTTCTTCATATAATCCAGCTTTTCAGATTATTTGCTCAGCATATATTGAATGAGTATAGTGAAAGGATACAACCCTGACTCACTCCTTTCCTGATTTTAAACCATGCACTGTCCCCTTATGTTCAAATGACAGCCTCCTGGTCTATGTACAGGTTCCTCATGAGTACAATTAAGTTTTCTGGAATTCCCATTCTTCTTAATGTTATCCATAATTTGTTATGATCCACACAATCAAAAGCTTTGGCATAGTCAATAAAACACAAATAAACCTCTTTCTGGGTATTTGCTTTTAGCTAAGATCCATCTGACATCGGCAATGATATCCCTCCTTCCATGTTCTCTTCTGAGTCCAGCTTGTATTTCTGGAAGTTCTCTATCAATATACTGCTGCAACCGTTTTTGAATTATCTTCAGTAAGATTTTACTTGGTGTGATATTAATGATATTGTTTGATAATTTCCACATTGTGGTGGATCTCCTTTCTTTGGAAGGGGTACAAATATGGATCTCTTTCAGTCAGTTGGCCAGGTAGCTGTCTTCCAAATCTCTTGGCATAGCTGAGTGAGTGGCTCCAATGCAGCATCCATTTGTTGACACATCACAATGGGTATTCCATCAATTCCTGGAGCCTTGCACTTCTTCAGTCCAGCTCTGACTTCTTCCTTCAGTACCATTGGTTCTTGATCATGTGCCACCTCCTGAAATGGGTGAACTTGGACCAATTCTTTTTGGTATGGTGACTCTGTGTATTCCTTCCATCTTCTTTTGATGTTTCCTGCATCATTCAATATATTGCTCATAGAATCTTTCAGTATTGCAACTTGAGGCTTAAATTTCCTCTTCAGTTCTTTCAGCTTGAGAAATGCCGAGTGTGTTATCCCTTTTGGTTTTCTAACTCTAGGTATTTGTACATTTTATTATAATAATTGACTTTGTCTTCTTGAGCTGCTCTTTGAAATCTTCTGTTCAGCTCTTTTATCTTGTCATTTCTTCCATTTGCTTTAGCTATTCTCTGTTTAAGGACAAGTTTCAGAGTTTGTTCTGACATCCATTTTGGTCTTTTCTTCCTTTCCTTTTTTTTTAATGACATTTTACTTTCTTCATGGATGATATTCTTGATGTCATCCTACAATTCTTCTGGTCTTCAGTCATTGATGTTCAGTGCATTAAATCTATTCTTTAAGTGATCTCTAAATTCAGGAAGGATATAATCAAGGTCATATTTTGGCTCTTGTGGACTTGTTTTAATTGTCTTCAGCTTTAACTAGAACTCAGATATGAGCAGTTGATGGTCTGTTCCACAGTCAATTCCTGGCCTTGTTTTGGCTGAAGATACTGAGCTTCTCCATCATCTCTTGACACAAAGGTAGTCAGTCTGATTGCTGTGTACTCCATCTGGTGAAGTCCATGTATATAGCTGCCATTTTTGTTGTTGAAAAAAAGTATTTGCAATGAATAAGTTTTTGGTCTTGCAAAATTCTATCATGCACTCTCCAGTGTCATTTCTATCACAAAGGCCATATTTTCTAAGTACCAGCGATTCTTTTTTGTTTACAACTTTTGTATTCTAGTCACTAGTGATAGTCAACACATCTTGATTGCATGTTCAGTCAATTTCAGACTGCAGAAGTTGGTAAATCTTCAATTTTCTTATCTTTGGCTTTGGTGGTTGGTGTGTAAATTTGAATAATAGTAGTATTATGTTCTTGTTACCTCTGTGCCGCTCTAACGGAAGATACCACAAATGCGATGGCCTTAACAAACATGAGTTTATTCTCTTACAGTTTGGAGGCTTAAGTCCAAGTTCAAAGTGCCAGGCTCTAGGAGCTCTGTGAAAACCCCTTGACCTTGGGCTTCAGTTCTGCTTCTTGGACCTGGCCCACTTAAGCTAGAAGCATCTCTTCACTCAGGCAGCTACTGGCTGCTGAGGCTAACAAGCCCAAGGTGGACAAATAAAAATGGCACAGTCCTGATGTTACCAAACCACACAGTGGGCCATTAATTTAAGTCCATTGAAAGTCCCAGGGTCAGCAGAGCATAGCAGGCTTCTGAATAATGACATGGCTACATGCAAGGTTCAAGTTTGCCATAAGATAGAGACCATTCCCAAAGCTGCTTCTTATATATGAGCAATAACTACTACCAGCTGCCCAGCCACTCAACCAGGCTCAGCCAAGTTGACACACAAACTTAACCACCACATATTAACTGGTCTTCCTTGTAGACATTATAGATGTGCACAGCATGGTTTAATGTGGTCAGCATCAAATACCATAACCCTTTTCTTTATTGAAGAGAGGGCAGACTTTTGCAAACACCCTTGCAGAGGGTTTCAGTTAAATGAAAATGAGTAGCCAGTGTCCTCATTAGTGCACTGTCATTAGATTAAATTTAAATTGCAAAAGGTGTGGAGGAAACTAAACAGAGAAATCACAAAAGGTATAATGCAAATAATTATCTGTAAGAAACTTAAAAGATAACAGATATTTTTCAGTAATGTATGACAAATCTGAGAGATCAAGGAAATGCCACTGTTCTCATGTAAGAGAGAAACATTGATTAACAGTACCTCTGAGGAGGTACCCATATTTTAATGTTCTTTTCCAAAACTATAATCAGTAAAGAAGAATAAATACTAATGGCACTTGTGGGATAAAAGATCTACTTTATGCTAAGTAAGGAGGCCTTTGCCCTTGGCTCCTGGGAAACAACTCTTAGAGTAACTGGGGTGCCTTGTTCTGGGACTTCTGAGGATTTGTGCTGGTGAGTAAGCGCTGAACCTATTTGCCTGGGGTCTTGATATCAGCTAGCCTCAGGAGGCATGATTGAGCTTATCGTACAGGTCTGGACAGTAAAAGCCCAGAATAGTAAAGCTCAGAGAGCTTCCTCATTGGAGAACACATCTGCTCTTGGGAGGGTAGTGCATCTCTTGGGACACTGAAGCCCAGACTTTGCCCTGTGTGTCTCTTTCTTTGTATCCTGTTTGGCTATAAAAAAATCCGTAGTCACAAGTATGATGTATTCGCTGTGAATACTGTGAGTTGTTCTAGTGAATTATTGAACCCAAACTGCAAATGGCAGTCAGCAGGTCAGAAAGTAAGGGTGTCGTGTGGGCTCTTGAGCTTTTAGTTGGCATCCTGAAGAGATAGTGGGAAACCAGCCCCAAACGGGTCGCCAGGAGGTCAGAAGGTTGGGGTTTTGTGTGGACTGCTGCAACTTATGGCTGGTGTCTGCCTTTTTGACAGTCTGAAGGACTGTATCCTTTTACCTTATGAGTGCTAACTTAACTCTGGTGGCTAAAGTGAGAGAGAGAGAGAGCCATGGGGTGGGTGACTGGTGGCAAGGATGAAGTGAGAATGTGAGGACTGGATCAATCTCCACCTTTTGGGGATTGGATTCATGCTGATCCTTAACACCCAGCACTGTGGAAGAAATGATTGAACTCTGTATTAATGATACTTTGTTATAATGTTTTGTCTGCCTCCCATTTTAATTCTAGTTCTGCAAAGAAAGTGATGGTGTCTCTCCTATGCTCCATGTTATTCATATCACCTGGCTGAGTGCCTGGCACACACTAGGTGTTCTTTAAATATTTGCTGAGTGAATGAATTGTATTTTCTGAATCTTAGCTAGGCATAGGATGTGATGTAGTATCATCAGAGTCAATTAGTGAGTTTGCATATGAAAAAGCAGTATGATGCTATTAGTTGTTAAAATTTCTATAGAACATTCTTTTTCTTCTCACCTTACCAATATGCAGGCATTGTGTTTATTGATATGATAAATATAGTATGTACCATTTAGATTAACTTTTGATGACTATATTCGACAACGTGCTTAAACAACCATTTTATGGGACAGCTTTTTCTTTAAAGTCTTTGTTCAATATAACCCCCTCCCCCCAGGCAATTAAGTATCAGTAATAATCCTTCCACTCCTATAGGCCTTTCCTAGCAACAATTTGTTATCTGTCTTTCCTAGTGACAGTTTGTACATGGATAGTCTGAGCTGAATATTCAGGCATAAGCAGCATTTAGACTTCTTTGTGGCATAATTAATTACTTTTATGGCATTGTGTACTTCATAGAATTTTATTTGGTTCTAGAGATAGAAGGTCACACTTCTGCTAAAGGGGCAAGGAGGCCTCATCTTCTGACCTCCTCTAACCCCACAAAAGGAAGATAGAATCATCATCAGTAGCTCAGGGCCTATTCCTGGAAGGCTACACATGCTGCCTCCTTCCAGCCCTTTTACCAACCGTTGCTCCCACAGAATCCACCTCTCTGCTGGGTTCGATAATTCCCTGCAGTGGCCACACAGAACTCATAGATTAGGGGATTTATTAGGGAAGTACAAGACTATAATTCAAGTTCAGAAATGCACTCCATCTCTTGCAGCCGGCTGTCTCACTCAGCAGCCAGCAGTCTCAGTAGCACATTGCTCTCTCAGTAGTGCGTGTCTCTCATGTCTCTCTCTTTGCAGTGTGTATCTATCATGTTGCCCTCAGCATTGTGTGTCTCTTGTGTCTCTCTCTCAGCAGCGTGTGTCTCTCATGTCTCTCAGGAGTGTGTTTCTCTCAGCAGCATGTGTTTCTCAGCCAGCAGTCAGAAAGACTCCTCCTGCCTGTAGGAGGGCTCCTTTTGAGCCTGGCAGAGTGGCCCAAACCAACCAATCCCAACATCAGAGTTCTACACACCTGAGAGAGAGTGAAATGGCCAGAAAATTACTTTGTGTTGCTCCCAACAGACATACCCCACGTGGATAACCTTAACAATCAGGAGCTACTCAGTTGCTCACAGCAAATTCCACCACAGAGTTTACAAAGACTTATGGCTAGAAAAGCCACACTATGTAATTTGCTATACATCAACTTCTAACTGGTAAATGACAAAACTGAGCATTTAAACTTTCCTGAGCTCTACGTCTGTAGATCTATCTCCTCCTAAATGTTCCACTCTTACTTATCACATCATTTACCTAAGCCACACTGATTTATCTTCTTCCTATCCTCTCCCTGAATTTGCTTTCCCTCCTATATCCCTGTATTGGTGAATGCATTGGCAGCTATCCAGTTTTCACAACTGAAAACCTTGGGAGCCATTTTCCTTCTTATCCGTAAGTCCAAATTACCATCTTTTACTTGGATTCTTACAGTGACCTATTCATTTGACCCAGGTTTCTAGTCTTGCCTCCTTTACCCCAAATCTGTCCTGCTTCCTGACAGGCTTATTTAGTAATTCTTTATTACCTATAGGATAAAGCTCAAATCTTGTTTAACTACTCTGTGATGTGTTTGGACTATATACTGTTGGTGATGGGGAGCTATTTAGAATTTTAAAACAGGAACTCTGAAGGCTTTGTGAATTGAAAGGGGTGAGAGAGAGGGGAACACAATAGGGATAGTGAATGACTGCATAGAGGAAGTAACTGTGGGGATGGAGGGAAGGGGAGGAGCGTAGGAGAGATACTGGAGTGGAATTCTTAGGTAGGGAATGAGTGGGATAAGAGCCTAGGAGGATTCCTGCATTTCTGGATTTTGTGAGCTGTAGATACTGTAGTGCCATGAAATAGGTTTATGGATAAGTGGAAGGACAGATTTGAGGAGAACTATGAGGGTTCCCAGCATATATTTCATTTCTGTTAACATTCAACCTAGAAACCCAGAATGTGTGTCTATTCTGTTTTTCTGGCAAAATTCTTACTTATCCCTTAAGGCGCAGACCAGCGTATACTTCAGATACTTATCTGTAAAGTCTTCCTCAAACCTCCAAAGCGAGATTGAGCACATCCTCCATTGTACTATTATGGATTTAGTGAATTCTTCTGTTTTTATTCTCAGATTCTAGATGATAAAATTCAGTCTTAGAATTGTTAAGTGATGAGACCAAGAACATTGATATAAACAGCAAAGCCAGGATTTGAGCCACCTGCCTTTCTGGAAAGCCTGTGCACTTATCCACTATGCAGTACTTCCTCTTCTAAATAAAAAAAAGACATGGATGAGTAAAATCTTTAAGCCATAAGATCTCTTAATTGATATTTTAGTAATCTGAAATTTGAAATAGATCAGACAGGACTGGCATTTGTAGTTTTAGCATACTTTTCTTTATATCTTGTCTTAACAGTGAATGGAAAGATGAACATCAGCCAATGGAAAATATGTTCATGGATAAGAAATGAAATGTGTGGAGGGATTGCTAGACATTTGGAATTTATTTATATAATGTTTGTTTTTAAGCCATAAGAATTAATAAAGGTTTCCCAAGAAAGGATATGTTTGTTAACTGTTTTTTTCTTTTTCGTCATGCTTATAAGTTAGCAGATTTTTATTTTATTTTATTTTTTATATAAAAATTTGAGTTAGGTTTATGTTTAATTTTAGAAATATTTAGTCTTTTTCATTGGCAGCATCAAATGAATCTAAGGAAAAAAAAATATTTCCCACCCTATTTGAAGGACTCAAATTTGTGTTTTAATTTTCTGTTACATGTTTGATTTTTATCTCCAGGAAATTGAAAAGGAAGACATTGACTTAGAAAATGTGGGAACTGATGAATATATAGCAAGTTTTGAAGATGATTTTGAAGTATGTATAAATTTTTTTTTTCCTCAGCTTAAAAATCATTTATTATAATGTCAGTGTATGTATAGTAATTTAATAGCTTTTCTCTCTCTCTTTATTATTCTCAATATTCAGTATCTATTTGATTTGTGTATAGCTGTTACCTGTAAAATATGTGCTATGCTTCTCCTCATGCTTAACAGTATGATATAGTTAAAAGATTTTATATTTTCATCCATTTTTAAGTGCATTGCATTCAAGCATGCATATATATATTAATGTAAAAGTCTCACATTCTCAACACAAATATGTTTGCATATTATTATTACTAATAGCTCTTAATATAATTCTTATTATATGGCTCATTTTTAGAGAAAAAACTCAGCTGTTTATATAGATTTATATTTTAAAGACATTAAAATTAGTGAACTATAAAAATCTTTCGTAGTCATAATGAGGAGTTTGTCTATTTTAAATGATAAGTTTTAATTTGTTCAGTGCAATAAGATTACTTAAAGTCAATTTGTTGAAAAGTGTTCCAACCACATTGTTATTCTTTATAGGACTATGAAGATGATTTTGAGATTTGTGATGGTGATGATGATGATAGCAATAATGAGCATGAATTGAAAGAAAAAACTGAAGAACTTCCTCCAGCAAAAATAAAGGAGATACAAGAAATTAAAAAAGCCATTAATGCAGAAAATGAAAGGATTAGTGAATTGTCTTTGAAACGGTTTCAGAAACAAGGTCGAATGGAATATGAAGGGGAATCAAGGACTGGTATGTTAGTAAATACTAATTATATGTCCATGCTCTTATGAAACTGTGGACACTAAAACCTTGTAGACATTTGCTACATACAGAATTACTCTAATTAATCAAGTAGGTAAATGAGAATTTTATACATTCATGCTTTGCATCTAATACATACAGGGCACTCAATAAATATTAATCATTGGTATGTTAGAAATTATTTTTTATATCAAACCAAATTGCATTTAGCTTTTCTGATCAGCTCCTAAGGACGACTGTGATATTTGTCATTCTTTGGTGCTGTCAAGTTGATTCTGACTCATAGTGACCCCATGTGACAGAGAAAAATGACCCCATAGGGTTTTCTAGGCTATAATGTTTACAGAAATAGATCACCAGGTCTTTTACTATGGAGCCACTGAGTGGGCTTGAACCATCAATCTTTTGGTTAGCAGCCAAGTGCTTAACTGTTGGACTACCAGGGCTCCTTTTCTCATTCTAGAATGACTAATATAGGCTATCACTGATCCTAAGTGCTCAGTAATGTTCATTTTACCTGTGTTGTTAGTCTGTTGCTCAGTCTCTGAGTGTAACCTCATTGAATTTTCATAAAGGAATAACCAGTGTTGGCAGTAGGGGTATCAGAAATGTGAAGGCAGTGGATAAGAGCTCCTCTTGAGAAATGTTAATAACACTACATGGGATAGCATTCTCTTAAAGATTTAAAATGCAGCCAACACAGTATGTTATAAAGAGCTCTTCTAACTAAACCTTTCATTTCCATTGATTTTTTTTTTTTTTTAAATGAAATTAGGAGTGATCTTGGTATCTGGATACAGTGAATTTACTTGTAAGGGTAGGAGTAAACCTTTTAACAACAACAAGGGAAAAACTGATTTTGATAAAGAATTAGCAGTAAAGGGAAAATAGCTACAGTGTTAAAAATATTGAATAATATATTATTTTAAAATAAATTTTCTAGTAGAATATTAGTCATTAATAATTATAATAGTGTGGACTGTAATTATTAATAAATTACCATTACTAATTAATATAATAATACCACTGAAGGTTTGTCAGAATGATGATTACCCTCATATTTTGTACCTGCCACAGAGATAGCAAAACATTAAATTTATAGCTAGCAAAATTTCTTTTAAGCCTGGGTACCTGTCTGGGATGGTGATGTCTGGTAAGGATCCATTTACCTTTTGGCCATTTTGGCTGGCTGAGAGTCACAGACTGGTTTCAGTGATTTTTCACTGCTTAGTAGCACAGTGCACAGGGAGGTTCCATGTACCTCCAGGAAGTAGGATTTACATGACAGCATTTGACTTACTCTTTTTTTTTTTTTTTTTAAATTGTGATTTGGGTGAAAGTTCACAGAGCAAATTCAGTTTCCATTACAGCAGTTCACATACACTTTGTCTCATGACATTGACTACAATTTACCACAATACAACAGCTCCCCTCCCACTTCTTCCCCATAGCTACCTCTTCCCTGTGACCTTCCCTCCATGCACTCCTACCCCCTGAGCTGTGTCCCTGTGCATACACAGCCCTTCCATTCTCCCATGATTGTTCTCTCCAAGGAGTCTATCTACATAGTGTAAATGTTCACCTCATATGCCTGTGTTTTGTTTGGCTGGAAGCCACAGGTATGGGTTCAATTCCAGACCTGAAGGGCAGCTAGGGGCCATAGTCTCAGTGGTTCCATCAGGCTCTATCAGACCAGCAAACCTGGTCTCTTTCCTTTTTTTTTCCAAATGATTTTGAGTTTTGTTCCACATTGTTCTCCCACTCTATCCAGAATCTCCTATATAGATCCCCCTCCGAGTGGTTGACAGTGGTACCCAGGTACCATCTAATTCTTCTGGTCTCATAGTCTTATAGGCTGAGGATCACATGGTGTACCAGTTAATCTTTGGTTTTCTTCATTCTTCTTTGCTCTGGGTGAGGAGAGACCCATCGTTACCTCTAGATGGCTGCTTCCGAGGTTTTAAGATCCCAGTTGCTACTCACCAAAGTAGGAGGTGGAACAATGTTTTGTGTAGTATGTTATGCCAATTGAGCTTGATGTCCCCTGCAGCTATGGTCCCGATCCCACAGGTTCAACTCCTCGCTCCCTCTGGGTAGCTGGCTGTACCCAAGAAGTGACTACAACATTGTCTCTTGTCAGCTCTGCTATACACCTGGGAATTCTTATAGAACATACAAATACACTTGTCTGCCAACCCAATGCATGGTCTTGGGCACCCCCACCCCACCCCGCATAGACATACCTAATAGTTCAGCCTGTCCACCCATCTATCCACCCGTATACGCATGTTTGCCTTCACTGACAATGCAGTACTGTATGTGCAAAAGGGTTCATCTTTGTTGTCTGTACTTCCCATGTACCTCTCTATGCCTTCCTCTTCCTCAGTGCCACCATGTTGATCACTCACATTTGGTACATTGTCCTTCTCTTCACCCAAATCAATACTTGTCTTTACCTATCTAACAGTGTTCCCTCCACTCCCCTCCCACTCCTGGTAGCTAACAAAGAAAATTTCCTTCCATGTACAAACCTTTCCTTGACTTTTTATAAAAACAGACTAATATAATATTTGTGTTTATGTAATTGACTTATTTCACTCAGCATAATGTCCTCCAAGTTCATCCACATTATGTGGTGTTTTGCAGATTCTACGTTATTCTTTAGGGTTGCATAATATTCCATTGTGTGAATGAACCATAGTTTGGTTATCCACTCTTCTGTTTGTGGACACCTAGGTTGTTTCCATTTTTGGCTATTGTAAATGGTGCTGCGATGAACATGGGTGTGCGTATGTCTGTTCTTGTCCTGGCTCTGACTTCTGTATACCTAGTAATGAAATGATTGGATCAAATGATATTTCTAATTCTAACTTTGTAAGTAGTCACCATATTGCTTTCCACAGTGGTTGTACCAATTTACAGTCCCAACAGCAGTGTATGAGAGTCCCAATCTTTCTTCATCCTCTCCAGCATTTGTTATTTTCTGTCTTGTTGAACTTTGCTACTAGTGCTGGGGCAATATGGTATCTCGTTGTTTTGATTTGCATTTCTCTAATGGCTAATGATTGTGAGCATTTCTTCATATATTTCTTGGCCACCTGGATATCCTCTTTGGTGAAGTATCTGTTCATGTCTTCTGCCCATTTTTTAAATTGGATTATTTGTCTTTTTGTTGTTGAGGTGTTAGAATTTTCTATAAATTCTAGAGATAA